TAAAAAATCTTCTTCTGGTAATTTGGTAGCAAAACATTTTATTTTTTGGTATACACATTTTACTACCTTATATTAGGAAGCTTTTTAACCGGCTTTACACATCAGGAAAATTTCCTTCAAATTGGTCACAAGAAGTTATAGTTCCTCTTTATAAAAAAGGAAATATATATTAGTATATTAACAACACGTGTAACTTTTTACTCTGAGGCTTTACATAACATTACTGAAGCCCAATCAGGTTTTCGTAGTGGATATTCGACCACTGATAATGGTTTTGTATTATATTCAGTAGTGAGTAAATATTAGGGTATGAAAGGTAAAAAGGTTTATGTAGCCTTTATAGATTTCAATAAGGCAATAGATTTTGTAAATAGATCAAAACTTTATTATGCATTGTACCAACATGGTTTTAACGGTAAATTACTTTTTTCTATACAGAGTATATATAAATCAGTAAAATCACGTGTCAAAAGTAGTATTAATAATTTGACTGATTGCTTTGAATGCCCTCTAGGTTTAAGACAAGGATGTAAGCTCAGTCCAATTTTGTTTTGCTTATTTATTAATGATTTGGAATCCTTTTTGAGACAAAATGCTACTCATGGTGTGCAGTTATCACCTGGAGATATTGAAATTTTTCTTTTAATGTTTGCAGATGATGTAGGTTTGATTTCGGATACCATCGTAGGTTTACAAAATCAATTCAACGGTCTTCAAAAATATTGTTTAGAATGGAAACTAACTGGAAATATTGAAAAAACGAAAATTGTTGTTATTAAAATGGAGGTCAACTATCTAAACGAGAAAATGGTTTTATAATGATAACCTTATTGAAACAATAAATGCCTTTACCTATGTGGGTATAAATTTCACTAGTAAATTATCATTGTATAAAATGTCTGAAAATTTAGCTATAAAAGCAAAAAAAAGTATTAGTTATCCTTTTAAAAAATATGTATAATATTTTACCAATGTCAGGTAAATCTTATTTTAAAATTTTTGACTCAAAAATATGTCCTGCTTTGTTATATTGGTCATAAATATGGGGACTTGAATATAGGGATTGTATAGAACGTGTTCAAATATATGCATGGGAGATTGTGGAAGATACCCAATGTTTATATATGCAACAAAAGGATGTTTTCAATTTTGGACACGAAGTTTATATATGGATGATGAGAGATATGTTAAAAAAAGTTATTTTATGCTTAAACGGTTAGATGAACTAGATTATAAAAATTGGGTGACAACTCTACGATTAAATCTCTATAAGAATGATTTTGGCTATATTTGGAAACAACAACACGTTGAAATGCAAACTTATTCCTTACCCTTTATGTAAATAGATTAAAAGATAAATACATGCAAAACTGGAACAGTGAGTGTTTAGAAAACAGAAAGCTAGTATCTTATAGAAATTTTAAATGTAATATTAATTTTGAAAAATATCTGGACTGTATAGATATTTTGAAATTTAGGAGTAGTCTTGCTAATACGAAACTTATCAATATTTTTATATTATGCATTTAAACTGCGAAATGAATCTATATCTTAAATGTCTTTATATTAGTTGCTAAATCTTATTACACAATTATATGTTTTGTGAAAATTGGCTAAAATGCTGCTCTGACAACATGTCATTGTACTTTATACAACTCTATGTAAACCTGTATATTATGTGATGTTATATTATCCTAACTAGCTGCCATGTCATTATGCTATTGTGTTTATATATATATATAATATATGTATGTATACATGTGTATGGGCCGGTGGCCTGAATGCAAATTTGAAATAAACTCTTTGCCATATGAACAATTAATACTGAAATGAAAGTTAATATGTTAGAACCTGTATACGACCTGGATAATCTTTTGTTTTTTCGATTTGCTTCCATTTCGTTTTGTTCAAGTTATTATGAAAGGTGTAAACATTCTATTTGATATGTCAATATATATTTTTTCTCACCATATACTTTCATCCTAAAAATGTAATACAGCCGTTTTCTATTATGTTTTTGTATTAATTTCTGCATGTATACTGCTGATGTTTCCCGCTATTGTGGCACTTTTGCATTTTGTTAATAAATTGTGAATTGTGTTCTTATTATAGGTCACGAAATATATATGAGTATACACAGAAGAGACAACAGTTCAGCAGTAGCTTTTAGAATGTCGTAGAACATAAATAATTAAAATCATATTTCATATTTCTAAGTTATTTCTCAGTATACACCAAGCACATTTCCTCTACGTTTTGAATGGAATAAACAGCCAAATATTCAAAACTATACAGATAGTAAAACAAGCTATAAACAATGTAGAATTATTATTGGAAATAAATTTGATTATCAATGATTCAATTTATAAGCTTAACTTACAAATCTCCTATTATTACAACTTGCCCTTTGTATTTATTTAAGATAAAAATGTTAAAAACTGTAGTCATTTGTTATTTGAAGGTTTTTTTTCTAGTTTTATAGGTCAAAAATAAAAAAACAACAACATGCATAATTTCTACCAATACAACAAATACTTGCTTAAATATGCAATGTTTATTTCCTTAAATATGCAATGGTGAAAATGAAGATAAGGACGTGACTTTTAAAATCAAATATTAAAAAAGCATTGGCTAGTGAATTGTTAATGTTTGAACACTATATGTCTCATGCTATCTAGTAATGGAAAAAGAAGAGTATTCTAACTCTATCGAAGATTTCTCTTAAATAAACAAGGAAGACCTGAAGCGTGATAGAGCTCACCATATTTACTCCCTGTGTATTTTTAAACCGACACATTGACGGCGCCATTTTTTTTGAAGAATCTGATAAATAAAAGTCAATTATTTGTTGAATTTTAGAATGATAGAAAATGATCTAACTAAGAAAATAAATCCGAAAACCAATATCTTTAATTCAGTCATAAACGCTAAACAGACGTAACTTAAAGTATTACTTGACGTAACAATGTAGCGCCAAACAGAAATTGCAAAAACAATCAAAACAAGAATGCTATTTCATAATAATAAAATCGCAAACCAGTTAAATTTCATTTTATTTGACTATAAATACTCTGTATTTCGCTTGAAAATATATAGTTACATAAAATAATCCAACACAAATTTAATTCATTGTCTAAAAATGTTTCAGCAAACGGTTGACTTTGCGACATTTTTAATCGACAGGAACATCCCTTAAAGAACGTTTCTATTGGAAACATATGCATTGTGGCGAAAAAAAATTTAACCACCAAACCATATAGTCCAACTATATTTATTTATCTTGACGTGTTAGAATGGAAATAGATATCAATTCTGAGTGCATTATAGTATACTAATGCACGGCTTTTCGCTCAAGTGCTTTGTAATAAATCACAGATATTTTGGTGTGTTGAGCTCAAAACGCCTATAAAATCCAAATAAAATGAAAAAAAAAAAAAAAAAAAAAACAACATATTTTAAAGTCTATAATTATTATAATATATATGATAATTATTATAGACGTTGAAATATGATTTTTTTTCAAGACGGCTTATATTAAGTTTGTTTGATATTATATGATCAGTATATAGACGAAATGAAAGTGTGTGTTATCATGCAATAAAATCACTGTTGGCGTTCTAAATTTAGACATGTGACGTAATCATTATATACATGTGACGTAACCTCTAAAATGTGACGCGCTGAAATAATTACGGAAACAAATCAGGCGCAATTTAGCTTAATGTCAGGTGTGGCAGCTTTTATTTGTTAATGTGTTAGAATCGAAATAATATATCCAAATCGGTGATTCTATTGCTTGATAAAATCAATGTTTGTCGATCGGATGCGGATCATTATATCACTCGGGCTACGCACCTTGTGATATAATTCCTCGCATCCGAATTCCAAACAGTGATTTTATTGTCTTGTAAAATGGACTCTCATTTTCAGTTATAAGTATAATTTTTATTCTTAAAATAAGGCATAAAGTTGAACCCGTCCGAAATGTATTATAGAAACACATTTGCTGCTGAAATGTATTATTGACACAAAATTGCTGCTGAAATGAATTATAAACACAAAATTGCTGCTGTCATTTATTATACTGCTAAAAAGTATTATAGACACACATTTGTTGCTGGAATGTATTTTAGACACAATCCTGCTGCTGCTGACACTATATAATAAATATGTTTAACTTTTAAAAAATCATTTGTATTTTTGAATTACAATATCAATGTTCTCACTCTGCATTTAGATTATTTAGGAAATAAATATCAATTTCACGTGCATTGTTTAGAAATTAATACTTGGTTGCTGCTCGCCATTATGCGGGCATCTTCGGGCCATTATCGCAAAGTGGCGAGCAGCAACCAAGTATTAACTTCTATACAATGCACGGTTTGAGTTCCAATGCGTAGGAATATAGAATCTAAGCACAAAGGGCGGTGGAAAACAGAGTATTGATAGTGAAGTAAATGTGAGATTCAACTTGTTTGCTGCATTGTAACAGCGTTCTTGTTTGAACGGTTTTTGCACGCGTTGGTTGGCGCTACATTGTGACGTCATGTAAACAGCACTTTACAAGTCTGTACAACGTTTATGACTGAATTAAAGATAGTTGTGTTCGTGTTGATTTTCTTAGTTATACCATTTTCTATCATTCAAGAACAAAATTCAACAACCAGTTGTTTTATATATTCATAACATTTTTCAAACAAAATGGCGCCGTAAATGTGTCGGTTTGCAAATACAGAGGGAGAGAATAAGATCGGCGATTGCTTTGTTGTAGAATAACGCACGCTTTCGGCCTTCTTTGTGTATATGAGAGAATTCTCCGATAGTGTTAGAATAATGTACTTATCTTATTTACGTCCGTTATATAATATTATACTTGCTATGCCATTAAGACGTAATTACCCTCTAAAATTAAAACGTATTTCAAGCCACGAACCAAGATTTATTCTGCAAAATGTTTGATTTGAATATTTCCAAGTTTTGTATTCTGCTCGAACACACGTATTTACTTCAAGAATTTGTGTAAAAAGGTTACCGATCCACTAGATAACACTAATTGAATAATATGGCAGATGTTATTGCGTTTTGGAGGCTTTTATTTACAGTCAAAATAAATCTATGGATTTACTTGTGTTAGGGCTGTTTTAAAGAAGAAATGGCAATTTATTTAAGAACTCATATTTTACGTTTGATTTTGTTTGTATATGGACTGAGAACTGTACATAGTAGTATTGAAGATGATAAGGATAGAACACTATCTAACCGTATACAAGAAGCTTTTACTGAAATGAGGTAAGAACTTTTTTTATTTGAGGCGGCTTGATGCGGACTTCAGCCTTTCTTAAGTTTAAACATATTTTTCTTTTTTTTGATGGTTTGGTGAAAAATGAAATTTGCCGTCGATAAAATACATAAACAATAAGGAAATCTGTCGATACCTCGCTTTCAATATGTAAATTTGTAAAGCGGACATGATATTCTATTTTTAGAAACAAACTTCACTGGCGCGTTATAAATTCTCCCGGGACGCTGTTTTGGAGAAGGCTTAACAGTGATTTGAAGCATTTTTCCAAGATAAAATTATTGTAATACTTAGTTAAAAACGACACAAGCATTTTTTTTCTAATAGATAAAAAGCTGACGGTCGCTCTAAACGGGAATATAATAGTGTTATGATTTCAAATTATGTAAGACTACAAAGTGCTATAGTTAATTATAATAGCGTTTAGGAGATCCATTAAACTTTAAATTTTATAGTTTAAACCAAGATTAAAAAACAGACAAACAATGTATTCTTGTTATGCTCAAACTATTATTTCGTATTATGTTATTTTATTGCAAATATTTAAGAATCACCATGTATGTATTTATGTTGTTAATGTAGTTTAAGTAATCACATATGTGAAACTAATTTGATACGCTGCATTCAAAGAATAGAACTTTCTTGTGCAATATATTGCATTTTCTCTTTATATTTAATTTAACCCATGAAATATGTTGCTTTATCAGTCCAAAATATTTCATATGTTTTAAAAATAAATATGAAATATAAATAGGAAAGTAGTCAAAACTTATATTATTTTAAAGTACTTCTTTCGCCATTTTGTTTAAAAATCTGATAAATACAAAATAACTTTTGTTGAATTTTGTTTTGAAAACTATCTAAAATGATAGAAAATGGTCTAAGAAAAAAAATCCGAACACTAATATCTTTAATTCAGTCATCAACGCTGTACAGACGTTTAAAGAATTGTTTACGTGACGTCACTTAATTGCATTTGCGTAGCAAGCAAGGGGATTCGTAAACATTTTTCTTTGATAATGAAATTAAATAAAAAGGTTCTTTTTATCGTTTTTCGTGAAATATCTTATATAATTTCACGAAACATGATAAATTGCCACATATTTTCACTCGCCGTCCCGGCGCGTGAAAATATGTGGCAATTTATTATGTTTCGTGAAAATATTAACCATATTTCACGAAAAACGAAAACATATCATCTTAGTATTTTATATAATTATTTATATTACATGAATAAATCATTTATATTTTCAGGACTCTTCACCATACATTTGAAAGTATACTGAATGAACTACCAGAAAAGGGGTGTCAGCAGTGCTTCATAAACCTACACGACATTGACTCAAACAAAAACCAAAATTTGACTGATCAGCTGAAGGAAACAAGAGATGAAAACGCGACCGTAAATGAAGATATTGGAAAACAGTCGGAGGTCAGTTCGCAAGATATCAAGGACTTCTTGCAGCGTATTGGTAATTTAGAACAGTCAATCTTAGGGAAAGTTGACGCCAGACTCGGTATGTCTTATTTTTAATAGGACCAATCATATAGAAATTTATAAATCATAATGACACTTTAATTTTCATTTTGTTTTGGTTTGAATGAGGTAATATGTGTTGTTGAAACCTCATTAAATGAAGAGTGAGAAAAGCAAACAAGGATCAGATGAGATATGCAAATAAATTATAGTTGTTTATAATACATGTTTATATTTTTTGAAATATTTCATGAACTATTCTATAACTAACTTTTCATATTTTATAAAGTTCTCTAATTAAAGTTCTAAAGATTGATAATTGTGTGACAGAAATTAAATGCCAACAAATGATAATCATATACATGTACTTCAATTTTGTATTGTTTTCAATTATTACTTATGTACATGTATCATTTTCCAAAATATGAATTATTTTATTTAAATCTGATATAGTATTTAATGAAGTTATCATTGCCAAGTAGTTGTTTGTCTCATAACTGCTGGAATTCGTCAGAAGTCAGTGGCTCGGCCTTAGACGTCAAATTCCCTTTGCCCTGTGCCTTAAGATGTTTTTGCTTGGATATCTAAACTTGGTTAGAATGACTGAAACGTTCGTCTTTTCTAATGCTGAAGTAGACTTTTTCCTCCTTAAGGTATCGATCAATCGAATATTGTATGCTGGTTAGAGTGCCCGGCTCATATTCTGTGCCGTCTCGCTTCCTGACAGCTGAAAATAAATGTACATACACATATGTAGATAGATCTACAAATTCATAGTAAACAGGCCAATCACATGGATCTTTAAGAACATTAACTGGCAAATAGTTTTTTTCCAAAAATCAAAAATGCACCGAAATATGTTAAACATACAAAATACAAATCGTACATATTTCTATGAAAAAAACTGACATTTTCGTTTGTTGTATACACATATAAATTTATCATGTTCGGTACGAAACTGGAAAGCGCTAGGAAAGCCTTCCCCTTACAGTTTCTTAGCTTCGCCTGAAATATATCATGTTTATTCCACACTAGCTAAGTAATCTCTATATAATCGTTCAAATAAATGTCATTAATTTATTTAGATTTTAGTTCTACTTACCAAGAAAAAATCTTGGTAGAAGCACATCAAGCTCTTCAGGTGGTATTTGCTCAAGGTCTCTATGTTCACCGATGCTTTCCACCCAGTCTTATAGTGTGTGTTTTTATTTTCATTTTCTTTAATGAAACTGTCACAGTCTCCTACTGAAACTTTCTTAAAGCGTTCCCGATGTCCTGCAGAATCCGGTTCTGAATCTGTTAATGGGTGGGGCTTATCCACCGACTCTTCTTCAAGCTTGGAAAGTATCTGGACTCAACTGTTCGTCTTCACATAGTTTATCTAGATATAATAAGTCATTAGCTAGATGATTCTCTCGACATTTTTTCTGTTGTCTCCCAGACGCAGACGACTTTGCAATTCATTGATCTAAGTCGGTAAATGTTTGTTTGTGTTTCGTGAAATCTACATTTGTAAATGTATAACACAAATCGGTTAAACACTACTTAATCATGACATGACGTGAATGTTCTGAACTGAGAATATTTTGTTTCATTTATGCCAACTGTCGGCGTCTACATATAGATCGAGTTAAAACAAAATGGCTGCCATTTCCCAGTTTTACCACAATCTTCATCATTATTTGGCCCTGCTTTATTAGCCATTCAAATTACTTCAAATGCGGGCTTTATATATACATCACTTTTCGGCCACGGGTCGAAAAGTGATATAGATATTGGCCTTGCAATAAGGCAGGCCATCGTGTTATTGAACGTGGCAGGTGCTTTTTTATAGGACTAATAACAATAATATAGTTATTCAATAGTCATCTAATATTGTGTACATTGGATTTAGGCACATTTATAATGGTTATTTTAAATGCTTGATTATCCTGTTTTAGCATCGCATCCTTTGAAATTTATAAAAGGGGTAAAAGGGGAGCCCGGACCTGAAGGACTCCCTGGAGAACCAGGGATAGAGGGAATACCTGGACGTCCAGGACCTAGGGTATGTCATTTTTTATTTCATTTTTTTAAAGTTTTTAAATAGAATATTAACAAATAAAAAAAAACACACAATTCACAACTTATGCATTTATTTGCGTGTGCATATCTTATATTCAAGGTGAAGTTTTTTACAGGTTCAATAAATTAAGATAATGCGTGGAACTTGAATATCTTACATATAACTTAAAGTAGGGCATTCTTTATTTCAACATTTCTGGTCATATGTCAAACATTAAAATGTGAGTCATGAACTATATACATGTATCACATATATTTACCTAAACTGAGAATACTTTAAAGTAAAAAAGAATCGTCATCTTTATTTAACCTGCTTATATTGTAAAGTATAGTTACGTTTAGCTATATTTGTATAAAGCATATAACATCATGTAAAAAAAGCGCACATACTATCTAAACTGAGTCGTGGTATATGATAAATAGCATTATTTCACGACTTATGTGCGGTATAAGAAAATAATTATTACTTAAAATTTGACGTCAGCAAATAAATTAGCGTCATAAATTACATTTCCGCTAAACTAAGTTTAACTTAGTGAACATTTTAATAATTTTTCTTTCTATGTGCATGTCAGAATAAAAAAGCAATACGTTCCATCCTTTGTGCATGTCTAATCAATTCATTATAAATAACCACTAAGATTGTACAAATCTTCGGGATTATATATCTGTTAGTTGTCGTTATCTAAAATTCGTTAAAACAACCATGTAAATTTTTATTAAACTTCACAGATAATTTATAGGCATTAAATGGTCCAAGTCTCCATAGGAGTTCAAAATAAGACTCTAAATTCCTTCTCAGAAACATCAATGCACAGGGTTTAAATTTTTGCGTATTGCTTTACATTTCACTCCACTACAAAAATATTGTGAATCCAATCTGATCATTAGGATCTGACAACCACCAGTAGGTTGTCACCTTCTCTAAAATGTGACAGAATAACTTATACTGTCCATTTTGATGGGATTTTAGCATACTAGCAATGGAAGATAATTAAACATTTATATTTGCATATAAAGGGACATTGCTTTGCCAATGATTAATTGATTGTTGACAACTTGTTTTGACATAACATTTATGTATCCAAAGTACAAAGGTAATCGCTGCAATCCATCAACAGTTATCCTGCAGCAAGCAGAACAAAACTCTAACAATAATGCTAGTAAATTTCGAACTTAATCTATGTTTTGACATAACATACGATTCATACACACAATCATTGATCTTTCGGAAACCAATAATAGAAAAAGCATAAGTAATTGTCATAAGTCAATTGATGACAGCAAATGTGGAACTTTACCTAGGCTTTGATATAACATAATTAAATGCAATAAGTATATACGAGTATACAATCACTGAATTTCTTCAAATGTTATTCTGCTTACATGTAAATTTCCACAGAACATTTGGATAGAAATAAATTTATAGCGATAAATAAACTTGACTGGTGTTTTGACATAACAAACTATATAATATTATACCGAATATAAACACAATAATTGGAATACTTTTAAAAGTAGTCCTGCGGAAAGGAAATGTCTACAGACAGACATACGGACGCTCTAACGGGACAGTACTTACTTATGTTGCTACTCCACTGTTCTCCCAATTGCTCTATTAGCCACCTTAACGAAAAACAGGCACTTAAAAGCTTACGGAATGTATTACTCTGGACGAGAGAGTACAGTAAATTATTGTTCATATAGTCACATAGGTATTTTCCTTGATTAGACAGACGGACGGACAGCTCCTTACTGTAATACGTCCCTTAAGTTTTTGTAAGCGTATCAAAATCATGTCCATCTGGTAAAATAATCCAGCTCTAGGGCCACTTAGTTTACATAGACATATATAGTAAACATGACTTAAAAAATAGTATTATCAGAAACAACACTGGCAGATGTTAAGATATTTGGCACGGAGTAATACATTGAAGTCACCTATGAAAACATCTATATTAAACTAGCCCGGATGTGACTGTGTTTATAATTTTATGAACCTACATAGAAATCGAACTCTTCTCCTTATGTACAAAGCTTTGAACAAAAAATACTTTGCAGCATACAGAACTGCAATTTTATTTTCTCTTTTTTATATGTAGCGATACCTTTACGAGTGCTCTAGAAATACTCTGTGAATCATGCCGCTAGAGTATCATTGGCCGCGCCCCGTTAGTTATATAATTGATATAGTGTTTTAAAGGGAAACACATTTAAATACGGTTGAAAACTTTATAATTAACATTTCCTTACGAATTATTACAAACGATTTACAAATCATGCGGATGTGAGCAAAAACGACGTGTCCAATGTGGTCTAATTACTTCTGTTTTGAAAAAGGCAACAATTGGTTTTGAGAAATTTACGGTCATCATGGCCCTGCTGGTTTTCTGATATTAAAAAAAATACAATCATTTGTTTGGTATGATAAGAATTTGAGAAATAGTTTTTTTTAAACATAATTCGAATGGGAAATGAAGACAAATCGAACATTGTCATACAACTCCATTTTTCTATATCAAAACAGTTTGAAATCACATGTAGACATATGAATAGAAAGCTAAATATCAAAATTCGTATTCGATTATCACCCGATAGTTTGTATCTTCCATCCATCTATTCGGGTCAGAGGTAAAGTTGAAAAGGAATATTCTCCTTTTGAGCCTATGAAATCGTTTGATAAATAGAAATCTCTGACATTTTTCTAATGTGGTAAAATAAATCTGATATGTCTACATTCAAATATAAACTGGCGAATGAAAATGAATGTGATAGTACCCGTATTAAATATATCATTTCATTTTTATGTAAAAAATATCCTTATGTTTTACAGGTTGACTCATTTCGAACAATAAGATCGTTTTGAAAAAAAAAACCAATTTATCTGTATTTTTAAACTTTATCAAAAGGGATTTCCTGGCCTGGCTGGAGTTCGTGGACCACCTGGCCCTACTGGACCTCCTGGTGAAAAAGGAGAGAGGGGAGATACGAAAGTTGGTCATCTCGAATTCAATTGGAAAAAGTAAAACATCATCATGACTCCAACGAAATTTTAAATGATTTATTCGACACGAGCTTAAAGTGTAATGGGTTTGTGAATTTTATTAAATCATATGGATCAAATGGTAAATTATTGTTTCATTCACGTTATTACGGTTATGAATGTTGCCACATTTTATATAATGACAATCTTTGTCTTTAAGAGGATAGTAAATTATTATGCAGCCCACTGGATTTTCCCATTTATATACATGTTGCTCACCAATTTATTCACTTTCATCCTGTCCTTACATTTAATCCCATGTTAACTTTTTAAAGATCATGTATGTTATGTAAATAAAAAAAAAATATCAGAAAGGTTTGATTTGATGGTAAATATGATAATTTTATGAAAATGAAATACAATTAATAAATAATACAGAAAATGAAATGCTGTAAAAAATCTTCTGCGACTCGGTCTTCTAAATATAACACAATGATACGTCATCAGCAACACATGATCAATCAAGTGACCAATCCCTTAAGTAGAACAAAACAGGCATAGAAGTTGAAGATGGCAACTCATCAAGCACAGTAGAATATGTTCTATATTTCGTTTTACAATAACATTGGCGACAAAAACGAGAGACGCGGTTTCCTCTTCCCCGCCATGCTTGTTTACAAATGTGTGAACGCATGTGTCACGTGTTCTCCGTTCATTTACATACAAAGATGCGACATACTCTTTGTGATACCGTTGGGTATTTTATACGATAACTTTGCGACTTATTATTTTCTGACCGTCGGAATTGTTTTGTTATTCATTTGAAGACAATCTCTAACGCATATAAAGCTATTTTTTATTCTTCTATTAAACGTATAATTATGAAATGTTACATTTACCTTTAAATGGACACCACTTCATCACGCAAATGGGGAATATTAATGTGTATACAATCTGTATCCTTTACAATCGGATAATTGTTTAATCTTGAAAAATGTGAGTTACCAACCAGCAGACAGTCAGCAAAGAATTAAGAACAATCTTTGTCACTGCTGTACAGCGTTCACCATAAATAGCCCCTAAGCAACATAATCGATTTTTCCAACCTTAACTATTTTCTTGTAAAGCTGAATATGTCTGGTTTTAGAGCAGTATTTGATTTTTTCTGCAAACTGAATACCTTTTGTTAATTTGCGATTTTTAAAAAGGTCTAGCGTTTATTGTTGTTTGAAACACTGTTTAAAATATTTGTATGATCAAATGATTTACTAAATAAAAGCTATAGTATATGCAACTAAACCGAATCCATTTTTAAATATTAGATACAGATATATATAAAACATATTGTACACTTAGCGTACATTCTGTGCTTATCCTTTCCTGACATGTGTTTATCTTTGTTTGCAATGCATATCAATGTCTTTAAATCTGTGAGAGAACAAAATTAGTTGGAGTTATAGAAAGAGTGGCAGATGAAATATCATATCAAACATTTTTATAAGACTAAAAAATAATGATCATGTTAGAATTATTTTGAACTTAAAACAGTTTAATGAGTTACGTATAGAAAAAGACATAATTTTGAAATGGAATATCTCAGATCTGCAACTAATGCTATGAGAAAAGATTTTATGGCCACTATACTAGTTGACCTATCAGATTCTTTTTATACGCCCGTTTGAAAAACGGGTCATAATACAGTTTTCCCCTGGTGGGCGAATGGGCGGCTGGGCTGGCGGCGTCTAATTTTTGTCCGGAGCATATCTCCTACACCCATGGAGGTATTTTAATGAAACTTCATACAAATGTTCACCACTATGAGAAGCCGTGTCGCGCGCATGAACCAGGCCTCTAGGTCAAAGGTCAATGTCTCACTCAGAGGTCATGGAAAAACGCTTGTCTGGAGCAGACCATCTACATGCATAAAAGGATTTCAATATAACTTGGCACAAGTGTTCACTATAGCGGAGTGTCGTGTGCAAAAGTTATGTCCCTGCAGTCAAGGTCAATGTCACACATAGGGGTCAAATTACAGATAAAAATCAAACATTTGTATTGGGACCATTTAGTAATCATTATTTGAGGGATTGAAACACAAATGGTCATTATCATGACTACCGGTGTGAAACATGTAATTTAGGTCAATATATGCAAGGTCATGGTCACAAAAGATGATTGTCAAGGTCACTTAAGATGATAATATAGAGATTTTATCCAAAACATATCTCCCATACATAAGGAGGGATTTTAATGAGACTTCATACAAATGTTCACTACTATGAGAATTCGGTCGCGTGCATGAACCAGGCTTTAGGGTCAAAGGTCACACTTAGAGGTCATAGAAAAAAGCTTGTCCCGAGCACAACTTCTATTTGCGTAAAGGGATTTCAACACAACTTGGCAGAAATGTTCACTATTGGGAGGCGGAATGTCGCGTGCAAAATTTAGGTCCCTGTGGCCAAGGTCAAGGTCACACATAGGGGTCAAAGTTCAGTTAAAAATCATAAGAGATGATAATATATCCAGATAATTTCCGGATATTGCCCAGATGATATATCCTATATGCATAACTATAATGCCCACATCTCTGTCAAAAGCTTCTGTGACGGACGTATATTGTTGCCCTTGTTACTCCATGAAAAATAGAAAACAGGAACGGCGTTATTTTCGATTCTACTTCAATGATATATAATATCAATTTACAGCGTTAGTTATGGGGTATTCATCCAGCCCTCGAATTTTCACACAGATACTGCAATCTGTATTTGCTTATCGTTTATCTTAGATCACTGGGCCATGTTAGTGTTTATTTCATTGATGACTCTTGGCTAGTCGGAGATTCTTATCAGTCATGTATGTGTAATGTGAAACAATGCAGTTAATGGATAAACTCGGATAAACGGTTAATCAGAAAAAGTCGGTGGTAAGTGTGTAAAACGTTTTTCTTTTTAAACTTCTTACTTTGTTCTGAATCCATGACAGTTAAGCAAACATTTGAAAAAGGGGAAGATATAATTACTCTGTGTTCGAAAGTACTAAACACTAAACGCGATTTTGCTAAACTTATTGGCAAACTCACGGCAGCTGAGCCGGGAGCTCAAGATGCACCAGTATATATCCGACCGCTTGATAAATGAAAGAGAATGAATTAAATCTTCGACAGTTTCATGAATGAACCTCAGTCAATACATACAGCCTTACTCTGGTGGATAGAAAATATGCAGAACAGTTTTAAAAGTATTTTGTCGCCATATCCAAATACTTTTATATACACTGACGCTTCATCAAAATGGTCGGGGAATTCAATGAAACTTACGGTAAAAAACTAATGGTTTCTGGACAAACGAAGAACAATAACTTCATAAAAACATTTAGATATGAAAGCATGTGACATTGGCCGGCGCACCTTTTGTAAAATTTATAGAATATTGATGTCAAATTGTATATGGACAATACAACTAATGTTGTTTGTACATTAATAGATATGGAGGTGAAGTTCGCTCTCTCGACAATATTGCAAGAAGAAATGATTCTGGTGCATTGATAGAAATATTCTGTTAACGGCAGTCCGTATTGCTGGCGTATCCAACACACACGCTGACAGACTTAATGGGACTGAAAATGGTGATACTGAGTGATCTCTAGAACAAGGAATATTTGATAAAATCATTAAAACACACTGGAGCATTAAAATTGCTTTATTTGCATTTATGTGGCTCACCCGCCCACCCACTACCACCCAAAACTGATTTCTTTAAAGATGCTGTATGTTTTAGTTAAGGATGTAACCACTCTCTAGTGAAGTTTTATATATGTATATAATTATATTTCAAAAGCAATTTTCAAAAATCGAAGAATATGTTACATATAAACTGCAAATATTTGTCCACATTATGTGTATTCATTTAAATATGCATTCATTTTTTTATTGAAAAAGTTGACTTGGACTTCATAGAAAGTATATTTCTAATTACCTCCCTTGATAAGCATGACATGTAAATTCGGTAATATATTTAAAAATAATGCTTTTTTGGAACTACCACTATTGATAAATCTTCATTTGAGCATTATATTTATGATATAAAACCATACCAAATCGAGATACAGGAACTTTAGATATTGTCATCTTATAGGAGACATAAGATACAAACTTTAAAATATGACCACTCCGCAATGTTAATCATTGCGTCTGTAATCTGTGTGAGCCCTTTTGGGAGTTTTGTGTATCAATCTTCATCTTACTTCTACGAAGGTTAGTCTCATTTAATCATTAAATTATATAAACCATGATTTATCAAAAGAAACCAAGGTTTTTTGTTTGCTTGTTTTCATTGCCACGCACTACAAACTTTACATTACATTAACCTTGAACAATGTTTTGAATGCATTATCCCAAAATGAACTTGAAGATATCCTAAAACGAAAACAAGATAATAAGACTGACCTAGAAATTAGAAGTAGGTAGATATGTTTTAAATTATATGGTAATAAAGGCATGTGTTTTTTCGAATTCCAGGTTTGTTAAACAAAGTGCACGTTGTTCTTTTTGATATGGCCAGGTATTTGACTGTAAAAACCAAGTAAAATTTGCATGTTATTAAAGGGTGTGAAACTTACTTAAAATGGCGTTCTATATTCTTGTATCACTTTTCTGTTTTAGCATCAAAATAAATCAAATATCCGGTTAGACATTTCTATTACCATTTATATTGAATTTTCATATAGAATGTCATGTTCTCGTAAATGTTACGCTGAATGTGTCTTAGACAATAATACTTATAATTGTAACAATATGAAATTTACTCACTATATTGATTGAAAGATTTATATCTTTAGTTTAAAATTGGGTTTTACATTTGTTTTATGACACAAAGCTCACGAATTTGTTTATGTTGCCTAATAAGGTGAAAATGTAAATAATAAATTCAAACAAACAGAACATCTACACTACTAGGGTATTTTACATCAATTACATTGTTTTCATTTACAGCTCAAAATGGGGATTTTTTATATGCAAAATTGATATATCTATTTATTTGTTAAACTATGAATAATGGAATATTTACGTCTTTTTACCTTTATAATTGTCATGACTCAACAATTCGTATACCGTTTTTCCTCCTAATTGTTGTACTTTTATACATTTACGGATATATTACAAAAGCGCTATAAATAGTAACACAACTTTTCTTTCTACTTCAAAACATTTTGCACTACAGACACATTTTGCGATGACGCACTGGCATAAGTCAAATCTGATGCAGTTCTTCGTGTTTCGAAATATTGAAGAATGCAACGTTCTAGATACATTTACATTTGAACATTTTATGTATTTTAGTTTTCACAAGTACAAAAATAAATTCCAAGAAAACTTTTTTTAAAGGAACTACACTGAGGTCAAAAAACTTAACTTGTGAAATTCTATCATATATCAAGTCAAGCACTAATAGTGAAGAAAACATCTGAAAAATATAATATAGAAATTATTATTCTAGTTATTTAAAATATTTTTTCTTTGTTAGATTCTTAGTCTGATTTGAGTGAAAAGCGCTGCAACGGTTTTCAATTGTTAGTCATTTTGCACACTAAGAATGATTCTGGTAAAACGGGAAGAAGATATGATATTGAAATTTGCACACAAGTTTTAGGACAAGACCTACATCAAAATGTATACACATCTCGGAAAAAAAATAGTTTTAATCCCCTTATATCAAACAACTTAGTGGAGTCACTTTAAAGGGAGACACAGGCAAAATTTTCGTTTCTTCGTTTTGAATTTTTCATTCATTAATCTGCAAAATGTCCTTGAAATAAAAACACTAGGCAGTATCAGGAACAAAACAAACATTTCTCCTTAAAAAAGTAGAATGGTAGTTTTTTTAACTTTACCCACAGTGAGCTATGTGATAGTGAACTCTGGAAAAATTAAAGAACATACCAAATTAATGATTTATGTTTGTTTCATTCATACAATATCCAAACTTATCTGCTATTGTAACTTCTAGGGTTTGTTCAAGTCACATGACTAGTTTTAAAACTACTCGATGATTCTGTCGGCGTCTTCATTTCGTTTACATATTTAGATATATTTACGCTTCAAACCCAAAATATATAGAATTTATACAAAAAATCATGCTGGGACTTTTACAAATGTTATTTTAGCGTAATTTGAGTATATAAAATAATTTTGATATTTTTATCATTATTTTGCCTGAGTATCCCTCTAAATGATACCATATTTAATCAGAATTAAAATATATATATATATCAATATAAAATAAAAGAATAATAATAAAACACTATATTTTTAATGATATTTTGGTGAGTGTGAAGCAGTTCTTGAAAATGTAGCAAAGCGACCTTTTGCCGCGAAACGAGATATGAACAAGCGTGGTTAATTTCGTAGGTAGAGGTAGGGTAGAATTCCCTGATAAAACCCCCATGTCCTTCTGGACTAAGAGACGATGGATCAAGCTGCTGGAATGACGCTCACATCTATGGTAAAGGTTGCTGTTGCACACTATGGGGTTGTTGTCACAAATGTAGAAGCGGTTACCATGATGACGGATGTACATGCCGAAAAACTGGTGTTGGTATTAAAGTTTCATTGATGCAAAGACAACACTGTAAAAGTAACGAGGACAAATACGGCGCATTATGCTACCCTAAATGAAAACAAGGCTTCCATAATGTTGGCTGTTGTATCTGCGAACCGAATGGAGGTCCTGGAGTTAGAGTATCAGACGCTGATCGGCTTTATTGCCAACAAAATGCTATAAAGATTGGTTTCCTCGGACACAGATGCATAACGGTAAAAGATTGCCCGTTCATGGATCTTTTGAGAAAATTGAAGGATCTGGGACATACGTTGTCATTACTTGAAGTAAATGAATTAAGGCAGAGTTTGGCTGACATTGGTCAACTGCTTTAGTGACAAGGATTCACAATTTATTCAAAGATTGTACATGCTTGGTTTAAGATATTCATACGTTTTCTGTAAAATGTCACATTATTCAATAGACTGGTATAAGTGATTGCCATACTTTCTACGATCTTTAGAAGGCACCCCCTTAATAAACCAACGCTTATAAGGGAAACATTGGAAGAATCATCTGCGATCAATGCATATATACTTTATTTCCGTATTATAAAGATTTGCACTTGTCGCATGAATAGATATGTCATGACACATGAATTTATTTAAGTTGAATATTGTTTTATACATTGCAATGCCTCCTTCATAAACATTAAAAATGTATCTTAACAATAAACAGAGTACGGCATTCTAAACCACATTTGTTATACAATGCAACTTTGCAACAACTAAAAAGTTTTTTTCGCAGTCAGAAACAGTGGTTAATATGACTTAAGTTTATTCTAATTATAAGGCTAAGCATAGTTTATACGAGGGGTCGTATATATCACGGTATATATCCAGTAAAGCAAGAATATGAAATTCACGCACGATATGTGCAAAAATATGTCCAAATCTAAGCAAAGCAATAACTGAAATTTGTGAAACGGTAAGAACGGTCCAAAATATTTTATAGTAAATATTATTTTAAAAAATGATATAAGCGTATACGGCTGCTATGTAAAAGAAATTGCTAATTTTTGATTTACCTAGTTCGTGAGAATGACGCCTTGACTACCGTTTGGATGGCGACTTGTGTGTACAAAACCCAATTTAACACGTTATGTTTTTTCCAGTATGTCTTAGACATGTGCCAAAGTACTATTGCCATATCAATATTAACCGAAGCACATAAGATTTATGAGAAGGCTAGCATAACCTTGGTGCATCATTCACGAGATTGTTACCTTGTACAATTTTCACAGTATCCATTTATATGAGAATCTCAGTGTTATATAATACGATTAGCTCTGCAAATGTCTCAGGAATATTAAGAAATACTTTTTTTTCATAAAATATTTTGTTCGAAAAAATGTGTGACTTATTTCAAGTTACATGAACAGTGCATGGCATGTTGGGTGGATTAAATGACAAAAAAGTATAGCCATGATTATGCAAAAAACATTTTTTCTTTACAGCCCTCTGCGTAGCAATGGTAAGAATGAAACTCAATACCAATGGGAATAGGAAATCTTTGCTTAAACACAGGTTGAGGGTGTCTTATTTGATTACAAACAAGTATGGTACCGTTAGTTGTTTTCTACCCTTATTCGTCATTACACGATATTAAAGAAAATATTACTCAATTGCATTTTAATGCATACTATTCTATTGTCTCTGTCGGTTTTGCTTTTTCAATAGACCTGAAAATTGATACAAGGACATTTATTACCCGATCCGTTTTACTTTTACCGTGTTTTTTTTAAGTTATGCATTCAAAACAGTTGAACCGCACATTTTTTAGTTATTAACCTTAACTACAAAGCTTTGAATGAATAGCACTATAAAGACAAGATCACCGCTAGACGGAGCATTATATACCCGAAAGAGTTTTTGTAGTAAGGATGAAGGGGATTAAATAAAGTATTACCTCCTTCAAAAACTAATCCTTTTTTATAGCTGAAGTTGTTATCTTGTAAGTACAAATGCTATGACGGATGGACGGAAAGACACCAGGGGTATAACAATATTATAAACAAATGTTTTCGGGCATATAATTAAGGTACTCAATATAAATGATCATCCTAAGGAATTAAACAGTTGTAAAACTGATAACAATATTAAGGCCATTTGATATTAACTTTTGACCTTTAACCCTAATACAGATATGGATCTTTTATTCAATATAGGCAATTATCCTATGAAGTTTGAACACTATAAGCCAAATGGAACTTGTGTTATGCTCAAGAAAACACAGTGTTAAGGTCATTGTGACCCTTACCTTTGATCTTCGGACCCTAAAATCAAACGGGTCATGTATTGGACATGGCTGTTCATCCTATAAATATTTACAGCTATAGGTTGATTAATTCTTATGTTATAAAGCGAAAACCGTCTTCAGTTTTAAGGTAATAGTGACCCAAAATTTTAACTGGGGTCTTCTACTCAATATTGACAATCATCCTATGAAGTTTGAACACTGTGGGCAAAATGCAACTTAAATTTTGTTCAAGAAACCACAATTTTCAGTGTAAAGATCATAATGACCCTGACCTTTGACCTTATGACCCCAATATCAATAGGGGGTCTTCTATCCAATATGGACAATCGGCCTATGAAATTTGAATATTGTGGGCCAAATTTCGTTTAACTTATGCTCCGAAAACTGTTTTCAGTTTAAAGGTAAAAATTGACCTTGACCTTTGACCACAGACAGACAGACGAACGGACGCCAGGGGGTATAACATAATATGCCCGAAAGTCTTAAGAGCATATAAAAATGAGGTTAAATGAAAATTACTCTAAGAAAATAACTTTAAAAATAAAAAAAGACAGTAAATAGCTTAGACTCAATGCAGCATCGGATGGATTGTGAACACAAAAGCTTTTCACTTTTTGGTATGTGAGCTAAAAAACAAAGCCGGGACACACACTTTAACAAGGAGGGGCAAAACGATACAGAAGAGTACTCCCGATAATTAAAAATGTGACCAAGACTTGCAAGAATAAACACATAGGATAAGTACTGATATAACCTAGTGACGCATGGTTTCTGCGCTTAGAATATAATTATAATTGCATTTTTTAAAAAACAACAACAACAACAACAACAACAAAAACCAACAGAAAACAAACGAACACTGGAATCGATTGCCCATCAATGCTGTGGGTTCGAATTCCGAAAGGGATTTTGGATTCTATCATGCGAGGAAGCTATCCAGCTAGCTTACGTAACGTCGGTGGTTCTACTCAGGTGCCCGTATGTGCTTAAAATAATGCACGGAATGGCACCTGAGGCATTCCTCCACCAGTAAAGCTGGAACTCGCCATATGATCTATACGGTGTCGGAGTGTCGTAAAGCCAAATCAATCAAACAAACAAACGAACAAATGTTAGAGTGTTTCTGTGCACATGCATTGCCTGAATTTGTAATGAAAGCCTGGCAATTTTCCGCATTTTTTTCGCACGGTTTAATCTATGACATAATCTTGCGTAACAACCACTTTTACCGATAGTGCGTCGGCGTTACTTTGTCACTTTTCTTTATTCAATTTTTACGCCTATTGTATGAGATAAATGAACATATTATTCTTTTTTCGTCAAGATATAGTATAATTATTTCTATATATATTCAATCAACTTTGCCAGGGGATCGGTTGCCTAGTAGTTAAAGTGTCTACCTCTCAACCCAGAGAACAAGGGTTCGAGCCCTACTCGGTCACGACCATGTTTCTTCATATGACACTAGATCTGGTTGATTCCAGGAAGCAGACTCGAAATTGATTAATATAAATTGCGGGAACTTGTTTCGCAATCGAGCTTCAATAAATATGTTTAAACCAACTTTGCCAGGATAATAAAAAGTTCATAAAAACACCCTACTTACGGTTTTACAACGGCACGGGCTACCTCTTTCTGTGAGGTTGATGAAGGCACCCCTATAAAAATGTTGAGCGTTCTTTGCGTTAGTTATTCTTTGCGGTAATTTGGCGCAGTCTCCGCCATGTTTTAATTAGAAAGAATAAAGGCAATGAATTAACAACATATTCTTTTCTTTTTAGGTAAGTATTAACAAGTAAGAGAAAGAAAAAGACTTTCTTCGATAGGTTTATTCATTGTATTTTTTGTTTATCGTAACTGTTATCAATGACATTGTATTGTTTAGCTTGCAAACATGTTTAAAGTTGAGAGTCATATGTTTTCGCGGATAAACGTTTTACATACGTATTTTGATATTCATCTATATATCATCATATTTTTACTGTTTATTGTTAATACGCATTTTATATGATAACTATGAACTTTTTGTAAGTAAAATACAGTTTAATAATTGTTTAGACAATTATTTAGAATAGCATGTTCATGCCATATTTGGAAAGAGCTCGGTAAATGAACCCAAAGGCAATTAAACGACATAAAGTCGAACATGTAACATATTGTTTGAACATTACTAAATAAACGACATAAAGTCGAACATATAAAATATTGTTTTGAACATTGTTTATATGCTATTTGTCTAACTGAACATATAAAAATTCATTATTATCTTTCATCTTTTGTTAAGTATATACAGTTATAAGTGCCAAATTAATTGATTGTCAGTATTATCATTTGTGCCAATGATTTAGATTGTTATTGTTTTATGCATAATAGTAAATTCTCAAGTTAAGTATCTATAGTAGCAGTTTAGTAATCATCAGTTTAATATGTTTTTATTTCAATCAGATATATAAATAATTAAGGTTGTGTTGTTAACCAGGTTATTATTATTCATTCCAAACATTTTACATTGCAGTATTATCATAATAATGATTTATATTTTAATACTCTTATCATGTACCCCTAGACATGAGTAAAGTTAAAGCATTGTTATTTTTAGTTGTAAACAATTAGTTAAATGTTATTATGCCACATGTTGTTATGCAACGGCAGTCTCCGCCATGTTTTAATTAGAAAGAATAAAGGCAATGAATTAACAACATATTCTTTTCTTTTTAGACTCCCGTATCATATCAGCAATTTGACCCGGCTAACATTTCCTTTGAATTTTAATATCACAGGTACCCTATCTTTTTGTCACAAACGGGTTCCCACAAAGCACAAAATACGCTTTTATCTGCGTTAAACGTTAAGCATGTAATATTTCTTATTTTTATGTTCGTATATATACTACATGTATGGTGTAATGTTTATATATAGAATAGTAGAACACATGGTGCTTAATCTTAGAACTGATCAGTGGCAGGAGTCACCTGTTTAAAATAAGAACTGCCCATTCAAGAATTCATTGAATAATACTGCATTTATCAGATTAAACTGATATATCATTACAGAGTATGCGGCTGAAAACGTCCATTTGGATAGCATGTTTATAACATTTAATTAACTGGTCAGTGTTCATGTTTAATGGCACAAAATACGAGATTTGTCTTGCAGCTTTTGGATGAGTAGAAGAAGATCTAATATGCCTCTCCTTCAGTTTTTAGGAAAAACAACAGACAATTGCCAGCTTGCTGTGTAGCATACTAACACAGAAGAATTCGATCCACGCAGGATTCGAATCGTTATGAGCTCTTTTCAATTAAAATATAAATTTATAGCACTTATAACGTTATTACACGGCAGTTATATGATACGTATTGCTGTTATCGTATCATCGAACCGAGCTCGTCAACTTATTCAAGCGTTTTCGCCGGTTATGGCATTGTAATACTGTACTGTTACCAAGACAACACAATACCACGAAGCACCGTTATAGGAATATTGTACACTTTTCAGATATACGTGAGCGTGTGATGTACGAATATATGTTCAAGAACGGTGATTTTGGTGTCCTGTCATACATGTAGTTCCAAAAAGCTTAGGCATAGGCCTATTACCTACAGTCTGTTGCTTTTGTCAATCAGTACAATTATAGTAATTTAGTATCTTGCATGGAAGTAAAACATTAAATGGTTACATGTTGCTCCCATTATGACAAATGATTTCTATGGAACAGAATTAGTGCATTTATTCCATCTTGCTTTATGATATCGGGACTTACATTATGCTTGCTTCTATACTTCTTTATGACAATGAAAACCTGCGTTTTGCTGAATTCAATCATGCCTTATGATTACTGAATACACTTTCATGTAATTGCAACCTTATGTGTTCCCTACTAAACCATCAAACACACATATTTTAATATGCTTTATGTTTCATTGCATCTTTTTTTAAGGACAACGTTTTTTGTTTGGTGTTTAAGATAACATTCTTTGTTGTTTTTGATATAACTATATGTAACATGGTAAGTTTCTGTCAGTACCTTTAATTTGCTATAAATCTGCCACTTATATTGTCGACATTATGTCACAATAAATTATTAATTTTGATCAATAATTGGCGAATTTGATGTGTCTTAGCATTCATATGCTTCAATATATTTACTGATTACAAATATAATGCAATACATGATCACTGCGCGTCGACAACGAAGATGACAACGATAGCGATATTAAAGTCGCATGTGACAGTACGCACTAAGCAGTTGGCAGTAAGCATAATGCGAGTTGCAATAATTTGTGTTCATATTATGACAGCAGGTGTCGCTTTGTCGGTACATCCCGTTATTTTCCGGATGATCCCGTATTTTGGCACGTGGAGTAAAACAAAGTTACGTCCCCTTTATATAGGGGCGTATACAGAACAGTGTTAGTTGGGGACTGACATGTAAAGGGAAAATTTACTGAAAAACAAGAGAACACGATGTGACAGACGAAAAGTGCGTGTTTTTTAATATTCCGCCAGCATGTGGAAAAAAAAAATGTTATAGATGTCTCTTATAACTCACCCTACAAGTGGCAACTCACCTCTTATACAATTGTTTACACTTCTTTTTGAGCGTGTGTGCAATAGTGAGATATACTATGCTCAAACTTACGGTGGTACAAAGGTGACATGTGTGTGTTTTTATTTATCTTGTGCGCACGAGATACTGTGTCGTGGCCACGGGTTACTAAGTCGTGGCCACGAGATAGTTAAGTCGTGGGAACGAGATACTTTGTTGTGGCCACCACGAGTTACTAAGTCGTGGCCACGAGATAATTAAGTCGTGGGAACGAGATAACTAAGTCGTGGCCACGAGTTACTAAGTCGTGGCCACGAGATAAATAAGTCGTTGGAACAAGTTACTATGTCCTGGCCACGAGAAAGTTTAGTCGTGGCCACGAGAAAGGTAAGTCGTGCGAACGAGATAAATAACCAATCAAATTACACTATTTATATGAATTTTCCTAACAAGGATGCCCCTACTTCACCTGCCGTAAAAGTGCCATTTATACAAGTTATTGATTGGTCAAAGATTTAGCGTCATTGTGACCCTGATTTCTGACCTAATTGCCTAACAATTATCAGGTGTCATCTACTGATCTTTTTAGGTTATATAAACTACGACTTATTCTTTCTAAATCATTCATCAGACATGGATTTTACATGAAATGTCATGTTTATCTGACCCGTGACCTGAAACATCCTTATACTGACCATGGGCAATGTCCCTACCCAATAAAATAAACCAGGATTAAGTCCTCCTCAAGTTATGGTATAAACAATGTTAACAGGCCGTTTTACGTACAAAATGACCAATTCTATCATTGAATTGTCCCAACAAAGGGCTATAACTTAGTCAAAATTAATTTTGATTTATGGGCCTTATGATCCTAAAGACATGTATCAAGTTCAAAGTGAACACTTCAGTATTTTTCAAAGATTAATGTTGCACCTAAATCTTTAAACAGAAATTTTCTAAGTTTAAAAATCATGGTGTAATCTAATTAAATTATCTCGTCTGCACGACTTAAGTATCTCGTTTCAACTACTTAAACGACTTAGTAACTCGTGGCCATGACATAGTATGTCGTGGCTACGATATAGTATCTCGTTCCCACGACTTAACTATCTCGTGGTCACGACTTAGTAACTCGTGGCCACGACTTAGTACAGTACAAACTTGATATTTTTTTCTTCTTTTTTTTTGTAAAATAAAATAAATATAATTTGGCTTCACACAAATGTCGTGCTTTAAATCCTTTACGCTGTAAGTGGGCAGTATGAATATACATGTATAGTGTTATTACAAAAAAAATATATGGAAGTTTCTCTTAAAGACAGGCACAACTTTACTTGACCCGTAATAAGGAAAGCAGATTCCTATACATTGTGTTTATGTGTTTTTATTTAAATAAAACATATTTAGTAAGAATTTTATAGATTTCAATAAATTTCTATGATAAAAATATATTACTGAAAGATGTGCATAGTATATTTTTAAGCACAAATGTATGTGAATGTGGTGGTGTGTGCGGGATGTCTGATCTATAATCAGACACACATATGCCAACATTTGTAATTGACTATGCACACGTTTCCTTCTTTCCTTATCATACATGTATATTTTAATGTGTTACATACCTATTCGCCACTATTATTGACTCTGAGACAATTATTAAGTTAAAAGGCCAATAATTTTTGCTTTTTAATGACAAAGTCATTAGATAAAGACTTCGCAGTACCTAGGCAGGTGCTTAACAACTGGATGACAACATTATATGTTTTGGTAAGGGAGTACACTATGACCAATATTGCATGAAACTGACACGCATATATTCCATCCCAGCTCATGAACGTATTTTAGGGGTAGGTGTAGCCCTTAAGCCATGGCCAGAATCCGCCACTGTACGTATAACTGCCCCATTGAATAACTGATTACGAGCATATTTTTTCTATTAGACTGTATACATATATAAAATTATATTGCATAATCCTTTACTACTTGTATTTATATTCTTTCCACTGAAATTTATGTATTAAGCGCTTGGTAAGTATTTATATATACATGTACGCAGTATCTATACGGAAAATTCCGATGATAGGCGAATCGAGGAAAAAATCCGTTGATATCGATAACAGAGTTCTCGCCCCTTAACAGTTCACAAATCGCTAGACATTGTTTAAAGCCTCAGACACCGAGCTTTATTAAGCATAAACACTGAATAATGGATATACGCGAAAGCTAATAGTAATCACGCCATGCGAGCTATAAATCAAATAAGTCACATTTTAACAAAATCCACCAGGGAACAAAAAATAGTCAATTTACATAAACGTAATACAAAAAAACTAAACCGTAAATGGTTTGTATAGAGCATGAAGAAAGGTAGCTTATACATAAAGGTATATGACGTTAACATTTTAGTATTCCAAATGGCTTGTTCCAGTTTAATAGTTATCACTCAATGAAAGAATTGGTCACTACGAAAGTTTGAATGAAATAATGAAAAATGGAATCCAGCATAATGCAAAGTTTAAATATCATAAAGCAAGATGGAATCAAGCATAGTGCAAGTTCTAATGTCATGTAGCAAGATGGAATTAAGCATAATGCAAGTTCCAATGTCATCAAGCAAGATGGAATTAAGCATAATGCAAGTTCCAATGTCATCAAGCAAGATAGAATAAATGCTTAATTCTGTTCCATAGATTTCGCATTTAGCATTACTTTCCCTCACCTTGGACATTATAGAAATAATTAAGATTCGTAATGAGCTGCTTTGTAAATTTCATCAATTTATACTTCCGCTCATGATAGATTTTATATAACGTATTTGCACTTGTTTTAGTAATTTATTTGTTCATTTATTTATTTATTTATTTATTTATTTATTGAATAAATGTAAAATTCCGACTACCTGTATTCCATTTTGCGCGTGTTTTGCTTAAGTACTGTGCTAGGACGGTTACCTGTGTATTAAAACATTAAACCTCTTTGCTTTTGATTTTTTATATCACAGGTACCCTCTCGGTACCAGTGATATAAAAAATCAAAAGCAAAGAGGTGGCCGGTTATGCTGCAAAACCGAAGGGAGGGTGTTTTTATTAATTCTACATTTATTTTTGACTAATACGAGTAACTGCTATTTCACGAATATTATGTATAAATGAATATATGTAATATATATGATGCATATAAAATCAAGTCACTGGTTCATTTCAGCCCGTAAATATGTCGAGGTGATGGGCGAGGCAAGACATGTCGATTTTGTGTAGCTTATTGGGAAGTTGCAGTACTTGAAAAACGGGCACATACATGCATACCGCCTTTACTTATGCAAGTACTTACGCAATGAAACTTGACTGGATTGTTATCCATCACTGCTTTGTTTTTAGCAGAGAATGACCTGTGCATGCATATGTAAAGAGGGTACCGCTTGAATAGATTTCGCAAAAAAGGTACCGATATGGATATGCAATGTGATTGTTGTCAGGTAATGCAAATGAGATCTTGTTACAAATGTCTCGGAAACCTACCTTGCAGCAATTCAAAACGGCGACTTTTCAATAAAAATTAAAAAAATAAATAAAAACAATCAGATTCATAATGACCGAGCCGTAGAGCCAATCAAAATTCTTCAATATCATAGTAGTCGAATTGTCTTATCTCATGAAGTCCGTACTTTCTGCATAATGGCCTTGGTTTTTGTTCAAAGTGTCATGGTGAACTTCATATTAGCCTTACATTTGAAGTGAAAACGGGCATGGCATTGAAAAGTTAATAAATAATGTTAAATAATGCACTTCAAACCTTATAGTATAGGAAATGTACCAGGAAATCAGACTAATTTAGGGAGTCAACTAACCTATGTCTTGAAACGGTAACTTAAATGTACCAAAATGCTCGCAATGGTTCGCAAAATATGAATCATAATTTTGTTTTAAACAAATTGCCGAAAAATATCCAAGATGGCGTCTATGATGCCCGCCAAATTTCTGCAAAAAAAACTTATTATAGTTTTCTGTCCGTTTGTTTTCAAGAAATTCAAAAAAGCAACACACACACACACGCACGCACGCACGCACGCACACACATACACACTGTAAATTTATTGATTATTGGTCATTTTTTATGAGAGAAATTTAAAATATTTGAAATGAAAATAAATTTCAATGTTAATTCCTATTTGTACTTTTGTGCAAAACTACAACTCCAACTCTTTAGATTGATATCAATTATTCAAATATAATGTTAATAGACACTTCTCCTTTGGCGTATTATTCATTTTATTTTCAACGTGATCAAAATACAAATCGTGTCTGTAAACATATTATCCATTCATTGCAATTGCTATGAGAAAATAATTGCTATATACTGCTTTGATTTATTTCAGACTATTTCTGGATCGGCCTGACAGATATTCAAGGAGAGGGAATTTGGCGCGTGTACTCAAGCAAGAGTTTGTTGACTTCCACTGGGTTTTCAAGTTGGGAACCGGGACGGCCAGACAATGTTGGCGGGAAGAAAAATTGTGGTCAAATTCGACCAGACAGTCTTTGGGGTGATAACCCGTGCCATGTATTTAAATTCTATATCTGTGAGAAGCCATTGGAGTAAGTATTCTTTTATTTTTCAGTATTCCTATTCGATTTTGTTTCATCATAAGGATATTGCCTGGTTTTTCAGATTGTCTATTGGTAGCTGTCTGATATACGCATAGCTTAAAACATTTGCTCCTCTTTTAAAATTCCATTTGTTTAATTTTTGCCAATATTTTTGCACTCTTTTTAGTATGAGCTCATACCCAAAACGTCATTAATTTTCATTGCTTAAATCGTTACAAGAGGGTGTAGACCTATCACATCTGTCTCATCTGTCTGCATAATTTTAAAATTACTTTATAGGAACTTTATAGGAACATCAAGATGCGCATATCACCGCCTTGTTCCAGCCAATCCTTTGAACACAGAGTGATGGCCTTTGATTAGTTATGCAGTATGCATATAAAGAAATAATTGTTTCGTGCAATTTCTCAGCAGCTACAGGAAGGAATTTAATTAAACTTTATTGAATACCAAGTGAAGATGCGCATGTCATCGGCTTGCTCCAGTCAGACCCTTAATACAGAGTTATGGCCCTTGACTTTTTGCAGTATGCATATAAACAATAATCGTTTCTGCGCTATTTCACTACAACTTTTGGCTGGAATTCATCGAAACTTTATCAGAACCATCAATACTAAGAGAAGATGCACTTAGTAAACCCTTCTCTTGTTAAGGTCAGACCCTTCAACACAGAGTGGCCTGTATGCATTTAGAGCAATAATCGTTTCTGCGCTAATTATCTGCAACTACTGGCTGGAATTCAATTAAACTAGCTGGAATTTAATTGAAATTTAATGGGAACCATTAATACATAGAGGAAATGCACTTATCCTTGCCCTTTTTAGATAAATTCCAAAATTCTGGAAACAGTGATCCCTCAGAAGCATTAATCACAACATAATAACATAAGAATTGCAGACTCGGTTTGATTGAGTCTGTACATGAGGGATAATGAATAAGTGAAACATCCCTCACGCCCCCTAGCACCGACTTGAGCGGTACTCAATTCTCAACACTTTATAGTGTTGGCATCAATGATCCCGAAGGACCAGAAAATATAACAACACTGAAGTGAAGTACGGGGCAACATTTTACGGCTGCCACACGGCACTTGACACCTGCTGTTGTGAAGTACACAATTCTGGAAACAGTGATCCTTCGGAAGCATTAATCACAACAAAATAACATAAGGCCCTTCAACACAAAGTCATGGCACTTGAATAATTATGTAGTATGCATATGCAGCAGTATTGCTATTTATTTGCAACTGCTGGATTGATTTTGACAATACTTTATGGGAACCATCAATACAAAAGGACTTTCATATAAAATCATAATATAAGTGTTTTAAAAAGTACAATATTTGGTCTTGGTAAACTTGTGAAACAGTGAGCAAATAAAGGATACCATAATGACTTAATAACAGCACATTTTGATCGTATAGTTATTTTTTTTATCTTTTTTGCAGTGTCTTAAAATATTCGTTTTCACTTTTTATTCTTTTTTTTTAATTCAATATCAAATATTTTAATAATTTAAAATGTGCTTTGCCCACTTTTACTTTTCGTCTTGTCTAAATTGATCTAGTAGTAACTATATTTAAGACAGACTGTCCATAGAACCTCGGTTTTGTCAAAATGTACCTTTAAATCGGAGATATCTATAAGCTTAAATATTTTTTGTGTAGCATTTGTATTTTTTCTGTACCAGCTAATATAAGTGATGTAACATCTGCAAATTTGGAAAATTCATATTAGAATATCAAATATCAATTACCTTAAATGGCTTGTCAACTTTAATCTAGATAAGTCAGAGTATCACTTATCATCTCAAGAAAACGAAACAGTTATCGCCAACCACGCACTTTAAATGCTTAACCAAAATATACCAGAAGTATATGACCATAGACACGACCATAACCTTTGCCAATGGCACTCAGGTATTGAATATATTTAGTGATTAAGCTTGCAAACGGGTTAACCTAATGAGAAAAGTATCGTAAATCTTCAGAAATAATGTATACGTCGTTTATAAGACCATATTAATATTTGAATATGCAGACGACGTATGGGGAAAGGCATTCGCTTTTGATTCGTATATCTTTGTTAAACTATTGGCCAATGATTGCCCATTCTGAATATTTTTTAAAGAAAATACGCATTTATTCTCGGAATATAAAAACAATAGGAACGAAAATGAAAACATGTTCATGAGAAAAGAACCTTCTTGCTAGACGATAGTTAAATTACAGGCTCGTTCAGTTAAATATTGGATAAAAGCACGTGACAGAAATGACGTGACGATGTCTTTTTTGTGAGTCTGGACGTGCTTTAACATCACTATTACAACTAAGTTCTAGAAAATTAACTTTGTTGCACCTGGCGTTTCGTCTATTTAAATTTTATATTATTTAAGCATGCCCAGCTGCATACACAGCATATTTATTCATTTGAATACTTATTTGTGACACAAATCATTTTAATTAAATAGCAAGAAACATTAAGGAACTCTTAAACAATAAATAAATAACCCCGACAAATGACGCTTAACTCAGTGTTACATTCTAAGAATGGCGGGCCTGTTCATTGTAATTTATATTAAAGAGCGTAACTTCCGTTCCAAATTTTGAATGATAACGTTTACACAATTTGCTTAATTGAAATCATACACATCAGTATTGTATATATGAATTTGTACTCCCGCTGACTACCTATGCTCGCTTCAACAGGCGCTTTGGCCAAAATATTAAGAACAGAACAATACAGGAACAAGAGCCCAAATTATGACATAGACCAACCTATGCCTGAGAAAAGACAATTTTTTGGAAATTCTTAATTTAAAGCAACAGCGATTAACAGCGATTAAGATAAAACTTAAAGTTTAAGTATGCATTGTTTGAACATAATCTTTTGAACAAAGTACCAATTTTAAATACTACTTTGAATGTTGTCGTTTTTGTAAAAATGCGTTTCTGGGAGTAATTGAGCGACCAATTGGGTTTCATGATTTCATTGGGGAATTATGATTTTACTATAATTGCATTATGGTATTCCACTGCAGAAAGTATTTCCAAGAAATCCTAAAATATATGTTTAAACCACGATTTATTTCTGGGTCATCTAAATGAACCCCTTAATATCTTTCAGATTTTGATAATAAAAATTAAAACTTGATACAATTTGACTAACATCTATTTTCAAATTCAAGTCATTGTAACAGTTGTTGTACAGAAAATGAAACAAACTCACCATGGTTGTGGTTCCTAATGTAACGATGTGTATTCATTTATTTTAAGATTCAAATGATCTTTTGGTATTTCATTTCTTCTTTAACGTTTCTTTCTTAAATGTTTTGAAAATAAAAAGATAACAAGATCAGAACTTATTTGATTTATATTTGATTTATATAATTTCTAGCTAAATATCGATGTATATTTACATGACTTTTAAAGAGCACTTTTGTTACAGTTTGTCAGTTCTCCAAATATAATGTGCAGCTATCAATTTTATGTTTAAATTAGTAAAATAGAGACATCACATATTTACTTATGGAATTTGATAAAATTTTATGAATCTTGCAAGATTATCAATTGGCAATTTTTCGCCAGATGTAGTTGCCAGATTATTCCTCAGAAAGTTTAAGTCATTTAATTCCTTGAAAAAACCTTTTTTAGCTGCTGCGGTCCCTTTTAAATCAGGTTTAACATAAAAATCTTTAAATCCAACATGACATTTTCCTATCCTTTTTAAAACTATCACATAATCATAACATTTTTCCGCCAACATTGCAAAACATGACTTGGCGTTGCCGATATTTTTGTACGTATTCTCCATGCATGGACTATTTTTTGTCCACAAATACAAGTCCCCACACTCTCTTGCCTTTTTACAGTCCTTCTTTAATACCTTATCTATATCGTCAATCAATGATTGCTCCGTGTGACTCTGATATTTTTGACCGTCTTTACCAATTCGATTGTAATTCTTATCAATAGGAAGCTCATCTACTTCTTTCAAACTTCTTGAATGTACCGTATCTTTATCCATTTTATATATATTTTCCTTTTTAGATTTTTTTGTTATTCCAAAATGTGCATTTTGTAATCCATTAGTGTCATATTCTTTTCTGACATCCCGTAACATTTTCTCAAAATTACCCTTAACTATATGATCTGGTTGTTCGACGAATGCAGAAGGTTTTGGTGTGGGAATATCCTTTTTTGGTATGTTACATTTTTTTCCAGGTGACCTCCTGCATCTGATTCGACTTTTTGGTTTGTTTTCCGCTAGATCATCTAGTTTGTTAATCCTTTTATTGGCTCGGTCAGCTAAACTATTACCGATACTCTTCAGTTTTGTCTTCAACTTTTTAGGTAAAGAACGGAGGCCTGTTTTGACAGATGATTTCACAGATTCAAAAGACGAAGACCGTGCATTATGAAAGACTTTTGACGTAAACGATTTAATCTTTCTACCAGCTTTTACTGTTAATGTTTTGACTTTTGTCGGTAATTTTTTTACGGTTGATAGTGATGACTTTAGAATATTCTTAAAATTAAACATTTTTTTCTTCGCGAAATTGATAAAGGTTTTTTTCAGTCCTTGTTTAAGCATTGTTTTTCCTGCGTGAATTCCTTGTTTGACTGCCAGTTTTATCGATGATGTGATAGCTCTGACACCCGCTTTTATCCCAGCTTTTATACCCGCTTTTGCGGCAGTTTTTATTCCTAATGCAAACGCGGATCCCGTTCCTAAAGTTGCAACAGTAACTACAGCGACGACAGCATCCAAAATCAAATCAATGCCTAAATCTAAAAGCGCCGATAGTGCAACGTCATCACACCCCTTAGCGGCGTATATTGGAGCTCTAAATAGATTGTATAAAAAACCAAAGATTGGAATATAAGACATTACTTCACTTGCTTTTTCCTCTGCTTTATTGTAACATTTTTTGCACCTAAGGAGTTTGACATCCTTTTCTACATCTTGATACCTAATAAGTGTCCACTTCTGT